GATGGAGGAAGGGTCTTCAAGATGGAGTCCTGAGTGGAAGAGGAGTCTCCAAGATGGCGGTTGGGTCTCCCAAGATGGTGGTTGGGTCTTCAAGATGGAGTCTTGGGTTGAGGAAGAGTCTCCAAGATGGTGGTTGAGTCTCCCAAGATGGCGGTTGGGTCTCCAAGATGGAGGAGGGATGTCCCAAGATGGTGGTTGGGTCTCTAAGATGGTGGTGGGGTCTTCAAGATGGAGTCCAGGGTGGAGGAGAGGTTTCCAAGATGGTGGTTGGGTCTCCAAGATGGTGGTTGGGTCTCCCAAGATGGATCCTCTTCATGGCCAGCAAGAAGAAGGTGGAGTTCCTCAAGCAGGTGGCCCACGGCAAAGGGGGGGAGGGCGCCAACGGCGTCCCCGCCATCACCCTCCTCGTCCGAGAGAAGGTGGGGACCTCCTTGGGGGGTGGGGGTGGGTCTTCTGGGTGGAGGAGGGGTGCTCCGAGATGGTGGTTGGGTCTCCAAGATGGAAGAAGGGTCTTCAAGATGGTGGTTGGGTCTTCAAGATGGAGTCCAGGGTGGAGATTGGGTCTTCAAGATGGAGGAGGGGTCTCCCAAGATGGTGGTTGGGTCTTCAAGATGGAGTCTTGGGTGGAGGAGAGGTCTCCAAGATGGAGGAGGGGTCTTCAAGATGGAGTCCAGGGTGGAGGAGGAGTTTCCAAGATGGAGGTTGGGTCTCTAAGATGGTGGTTTGGTCTCTAAGATGGAGGAAGGGTCTCTAAGATGGAGGAAGGGTCTTCAAGATGGAGGGGGGGGTCTTCAAGATGGAGTCCAGGGTGGAGGAGAGGTCTCCAAGATGGTGGTTGGGTCTTCAAGATGGTGGTTGGGTCTCTAAGATGGAGGTTGGGTCTTCAAGATGGAGTCCAGGGTGGAGGAGAGGTCTCCAAGATGGAGGTTGGGTGTCCCAAGATGGTGGTTGGGTCTCTAAGATGGAGGAAGGGTCTTCAAGATGGAGGTGGGGTCTTCAAGATGGAGTCCTGGGTGGAGATTGGGTCTCCAAGATGGTGGTTGGGTCTTCCAAGATGGTGGTTGGGTCTCCCAAGATGGTGGTTGGGTCTCTAAGATGGAGGTGGGGTCTTCAAGATGGAGTCCAGGGTGGAGGAGAGGTCTCCAAAATGGTGGTTGGGTCTCCCAAGATGGTGGTTGGGTCTTCAAGATGGAGGTTGGGTCTCTAAGATGGAGGTGGGGTCTTCAAGATGGTGGTTGGGTCTCTAAAATGGCGGTTGGGTCTTCAAGATGGAGTCCAGGGTGGAGGAGAGGTCTCCAAGATGGTGGTTGGGTCTCCCAAGATGGTGGTTGGGTCTCTAAGATGGAGAAGGGATGTCCCAAGATGGTGGTTGGGTCTTCAAGATGGAGTCCTGGGTGGAGATTGGGTCTCCAAGATGGTGGTTGGGTCTCCAAGATGGTGGTTGGGTCTCCCAAGATGGTGGTTGGGTCTCTAAGATGGAGGTGGGATCTTCAAGATGGAGTCCAGGGTGGAGGAGAGGTCTCCAAAATGGTGGTTGGGTCTCCCAAGATGGTGGTTGGGTCTCTAAGATGGAGGAGGGATGTCCCAAGATGGTGGTTGGGTCTTCAAGATGGAGTCCTGGGTGGAGATTGGGTCTCCAAGATGGTGGTTGGGTCTTCAAGATGGTGGTTGGGTCTCCCAAGATGGTGGTTGGGTCTCTAAGATGGAGGTGGGATCTTCAAGATGGAGTCCAGGGTGGAGGAGAGGTCTCCAAGATGGCGGTTGGGTCTTCAAGATGGTGGTTGGGTCTCTAAGATGGAGGAAGGGTCTTCAAGATGGAGTCCTGAGTGGAAGAGGAGTCTCCAAGATGGCGGTTGGGTCTCCCAAGATGGTGGTTGGGTCTTCAAGATGGAGTCTTGGGTTGAGGAAGAGTCTCCAAGATGGTGGTTGAGTCTCCCAAGATGGCGGTTGGGTCTCCAAGATGGAGGAGGGATGTCCCAAGATGGTGGTTGGGTCTCTAAGATGGTGGTGGGGTCTTCAAGATGGAGTCCAGGGTGGAGGAGAGGTTTCCAAGATGGTGGTTGGGTCTCCAAGATGGTGGTTGGGTCTCCCAAGATGGTGGTTGGGTCTCTAAGATGGTGGTTGGGTCTTCAAGATGGAGGTGGGGTCTTCAAGATGGAGTCCTGGGTGGAGATTGGGTCTCCAAGATGGTGGTTGGGTCTTCCAAGATGGTGGTTGGGTCTCTAAGATGGAGGTGGGATCTTCAAGATGGAGTCCAGGGTGGAGGAGGGGTCTCCAAGATGGTGGTTGGGTCTCCCAAGATGGAGGTTGGGTCTTCAAGATGGTGGAGGAGAAGGTGGGATGAAGGTGGAGGTGGGATGAAGATGAAGGTGAAGATGGAGATGGGAGGGAGAGGAGGGTGAAGGTGGGATGAAGATGAAGGTCTGGAGATGGGACAAAGATGAAGATAGAGGTGGAGGTGGGATGAAGATGAAGATGGAGATGGGGATGAAGGTCAAGATGGAGATGGGAGGGAGAGGAAGGGGAAGGTGGGATGAAGATGAAGGTCTAGAGATGGGATGAAGATGAAGGTGGAGATGGGATGAAGATGGGGATGAAGGCGAAGGTGGAGATGGGATGAAGGTCAAGATGGAGATGGGAGGGAGATGAAGATGAAGGTGGAGATGGGGATGAAGGTGGAGATGGGGATGGAGATGAAGATCAAGATGGGGATGAAGATGGAGATGGGATGAAGGTCTGGAGATGGGATGAAGGTCAAGATGGTGATGGGAGGGAGATGAAGATGAAGGTGGAGATGGGGATGGAGATGGAGATGAGGATGAAGATGAAGGTGAGGATGGAGATGGGGATGAAGGTGAAGGTGGGATGAAGATGAAGGTCTGGAGATGGGATGAAGATGAAGGTGGAGATGGGAGGGAGAGGAAGGTCTGGAGATGGGATGAAGGTCTGGAGATGGGATGAAGATGAAGGTGGAGGTGGGGATGAAGGTCAAGATGGAGATGGGAGGGAGAGGAAGGTCTGGAGATGTGATGAAGATGAAGGTGGAGGTGGGGATGGAGATGGAGATGAGGATGAAGATGAAGGTGAGGATGGAGATGGGGATGAAGGTGAAGGTGGGATGAAGATGAAGGTCTGGAGATGGGATGAAGATGGGGATGAAGATGGAGATGGAGATGAAGATGAAGGTGGAGATGGAGATGGAGTTGGGGATGAAGATGAAGGTGAAGGTGGAGATGAAGGTCAAGATGGAGATGGGGATGAAGATGAAGGTGGAGATGGAGATGGGGATGAAGGTCAAGATGGAGACGGGAGGGAGAGGAAGGGGAAGGTGGGATGAAGATGAAGGTCTAGAGATGGGATGAAGATGGGGATGAAGGTGAAGGTGGGGATGAAGATGAAGGCGAAGGTGGAGATGGGATGAAGGTCAAGATGGAGATGGGAGGGAGATGAAGATGAAGGTGGAGATGGGGATGGAGATGAAGATCAAGATGGGGATGAAGATGAGGTTGGGTGTCCCAAGATGGTGGTTGGGTCTCTAAGATGGAGAAGGGATGTCCCAAGATGGTGGTTGGGTCTTCAAGATGGAGTCCTGGGTGGAGATTGGGTCTCCAAGATGGTGGTTGGGTCTCCAAGATGGTGGTTGGGTCTCCCAAGATGGTGGTTGGGTCTCTAAGATGGAGGTGGGATCTTCAAGATGGAGTCCAGGGTGGAGGAGAGGTCTCCAAGATGGCGGTTGGGTCTTCAAGATGGTGGTTGGGTCTCTAAGATGGAGGAAGGGTCTTCAAGATGGAGTCCTGAGTGGAAGAGGAGTCTCCAAGATGGCGGTTGGGTCTCCCAAGATGGTGGTTGGGTCTTCAAGATGGAGTCTTGGGTTGAGGAAGAGTCTCCAAGATGGTGGTTGAGTCTCCCAAGATGGCGGTTGGGTCTCCAAGATGGAGGAGGGATGTCCCAAGATGGTGGTTGGGTCTCTAAGATGGTGGTGGGGTCTTCAAGATGGAGTCCAGGGTGGAGGAGAGGTTTCCAAGATGGTGGTTGGGTCTCCAAGATGGTGGTTGGGTCTCCCAAGATGGTGGTTGGGTCTCTAAGATGGTGGTTGGGTCTTCAAGATGGAGGTGGGGTCTTCAAGATGGAGTCCTGGGTGGAGATTGGGTCTCCAAGATGGTGGTTGGGTCTTCCAAGATGGTGGTTGGGTCTCTAAGATGGAGGTGGGATCTTCAAGATGGAGTCCAGGGTGGAGGAGGGGTCTCCAAGATGGTGGTTGGGTCTCCCAAGATGGAGGTTGGGTCTTCAAGATGGTGGAGGAGAAGGTGGGATGAAGGTGGAGGTGGGATGAAGATGAAGGTGAAGATGGAGATGGGAGGGAGAGGAGGGTGAAGGTGGGATGAAGATGAAGGTCTGGAGATGGGACAAAGATGAAGATAGAGGTGGAGGTGGGATGAAGATGAAGATGGAGATGGGGATGAAGGTCAAGATGGAGATGGGAGGGAGAGGAAGGGGAAGGTGGGATGAAGATGAAGGTCTAGAGATGGGATGAAGATGAAGGTGGAGATGGGATGAAGATGGGGATGAAGGCGAAGGTGGAGATGGGATGAAGGTCAAGATGGAGATGGGAGGGAGATGAAGATGAAGGTGGAGATGGGGATGAAGGTGGAGATGGGGATGGAGATGAAGATCAAGATGGGGATGAAGATGGAGATGGGATGAAGGTCTGGAGATGGGATGAAGGTCAAGATGGTGATGGGAGGGAGATGAAGATGAAGGTGGAGATGGGGATGGAGATGGAGATGAGGATGAAGATGAAGGTGAGGATGGAGATGGGGATGAAGGTGAAGGTGGGATGAAGATGAAGGTCTGGAGATGGGATGAAGATGAAGGTGGAGATGGGAGGGAGAGGAAGGTCTGGAGATGGGATGAAGGTCTGGAGATGGGATGAAGATGAAGGTGGAGGTGGGGATGAAGGTCAAGATGGAGATGGGAGGGAGAGGAAGGTCTGGAGATGTGATGAAGATGAAGGTGGAGGTGGGGATGGAGATGGAGATGAGGATGAAGATGAAGGTGAGGATGGAGATGGGGATGAAGGTGAAGGTGGGATGAAGATGAAGGTCTGGAGATGGGATGAAGATGGGGATGAAGATGGAGATGGAGATGAAGATGAAGGTGGAGATGGAGATGGAGTTGGGGATGAAGATGAAGGTGAAGGTGGAGATGAAGGTCAAGATGGAGATGGGGATGAAGATGAAGGTGGAGATGGAGATGGGGATGAAGGTCAAGATGGAGACGGGAGGGAGAGGAAGGGGAAGGTGGGATGAAGATGAAGGTCTAGAGATGGGATGAAGATGGGGATGAAGGTGAAGGTGGGGATGAAGATGAAGGCGAAGGTGGAGATGGGATGAAGGTCAAGATGGAGATGGGAGGGAGATGAAGATGAAGGTGGAGATGGGGATGGAGATGAAGATCAAGATGGGGATGAAGATGAAGGTGGAGATGGGATGAAGGTCTGGAGATGGGATGAAGGTCAAGATGGTGATGGGGATGAAGATGAAGGTGGAGATGGGAGGGAGAGGAAGGTGAAGGTGGAGATGAAGATCAAGATGGGGATGAAGATGAAGATGGAGATGGAGATGGAGATGGGGATGAAGGTCAAGATGGAGATGGGAGGGAGAGGAGGGTGAGGGTGGGATGAAGATGAAGGTCTGGAGATGGGATGAAGATGAAGATGGAGGTGGGATGAAGATGAAGGTCTGGAGATGGGATGAAGGTCAAGATAGGGATGAAGATGAAGATGGAGATGGAGATGGAGATGGAGAAGGTGGGATGAAGATGAAGATGGAGGTGGGATGAAGATGAAGGTCTGGAGATGGGGATGAAGGTCAAGATGGAGATAGAGGTGGAAATGGAGATGAAGATGAAGGTGGAGATGGGATGAAGGTCCCAACTTATCGATTTTTGTTATTTTTGCCCGATTTCCCCGTTTTTGCCCCCAGAGCGAGAGCAACAAGGCCAACTTTGAGAAGCTGATCGAGGCCCTGAAGGGCAGCAAAAATGGCCGCCGCCTGGGGGTCTTCTCCAAGGACAAGTTCCCCGGGGACTTCCTGAAGAGCTGGAACGAGTGTCTGACCCGCGAGGGCTTCGAGAAGGTCAGGGGGAGGGGCCACCACCATTGGGTGGTCAACGGGTGGTCAACGGGGTGGCCACCAAGATGGTGGACCAACGTGGTGGTGGTCATCACCGTGGTGGACCACCATGGTGGTCATCAACCTTCGTTGGCCAACGTGGTGGTCATCAAGATGGTGGACATCAACGTGGTGGCCACAAAGATGGTGGTTCCTCAACGTGGTGGTCAACGGGGTGGTCAACGGGGTGGTCACCAACATGGTGGACCACCGTGGTGGTCATCAAGATGGTGGACATCAAGGTGGTGGCCACCAAGATGGTGGTTCCTCAACGTGGTGGTCAATGTGGTGGTCACCAACCTTCGTTGGCCAATGTGGTGGTCAACATGGTGGTCAATGTGGTGGCCACCAACATGGTGGACCACCGTGGTGGTCAACGTGGTGGTCATCAACGTGGTGGTCATCAATGTGGTGGTCAACGTGGTGGTCAATGGGGTGTCCACCAACATGGTGGACCACCGTGGTGGCCACCAACATGGTGGTTCCTCAACGTGGTGGCCACCAACCTTCATTGGCCAACGTGGTGGTCGCCAACATGGTGGTTCCTCAACGTGGTGGCCACCAACCTTCATTGGCCAACGTGGTGGTCGCCAACATGGTGGTTCCTCAACGTGGTGGCCACCAACCTTCATTGGCCAACGTGGTGGTCGCCAACATGGTGGTTCCTCAACGTGGTGGCCACCAACCTTCATTGGCCAACGTGGTGGTCGCCAACATGGTGGTTCCTCAACGTGGTGGCCACCAACCTTCATTGGCCAACGTGGTGGTCGCCAACATGGTGGTTCCTCAACGTGGTGGCCACCAACCTTCATTGGCCAACGTGGTGGTCGCCAACATGGTGGTTCCTCAACGTGGTGGCCACCAACCTTCATTGGCCAACGTGGTGGTCGCCAACATGGTGGTTCCTCAACGTGGTGGTCACCAACATGGTGGTTCCTCAACGTGGTGGTCACCAACATGGTGGTTCATCAACTTGGTGGACATCAACGTGGTGGTTCTTCAACGTGGTGGTCATCAACGTGGTGGTCCACCAATGTGGTGGTCATCAACTTGGTGGTTCCTCAACGTGGTGGCCACCAACCTTCATTGGCCAACGTGGTGGTCGCCAACATGGTGGTTCCTCAACATGGTGGTCATCAACATGGTGGTCATCAACGTGGTGGTCAACGTGGTGGTCAATGTGGTGGCCACCAACATGGTGGCCAACGTGGTGGTCATCAACGTGGTGGTTCCTCAACGTGGTGGCCACCAAAAGGGTGGTTCCTCAACGTGGTGGTCATCAACTTGATGGTCATCAACATGATGGTCATCAATTTGGTGGTTCCTCAACGTGGTGGCCACCAACCTTCGTTGGCCAACGTGGTGGCCACCAACATGGTGGTTCCTCAACGTGGTGGCCACCAAGATGGTGGTTCCTCAACTTGGTGGTCACCAACGTGGTGGTCAACGTGGTGGCCACCAAAATGGTGGTTCCTCAACGTGGTGGTGATCAACTTGGTGGTCATCAACTTGGTGGTCATCAACGTGGTGGTCAACGTGGTGGTCAATGTGGTGGCCACCAACGTGGTGGTTCCTCAACGTGGTGGCCACCAACTTTTGTTGGCCAATGTGGTGGTCATCAACGTGGTGGCTACCAACATGGTGGTTCCTCAACGTGGTGGTCATCAACGTGGTGGACATCAATGTGGTGGCCACCAACCTTCGTGGGCCAACGTGGTGGCCACCAAGATGGTGGTTCATCAACATGGTGGTCATCAACATGGTGGTTCCTCAACGTGGTGGTCATCAACTTGGTGGCCACCAACATGGTGGTGGTGGCCAACGTGGTGGTTCCTCAACGTGGTGGCCACCAAAATGGTGGTCATCAACTTGGTGGTCACCAACGTGGTGGTGGTTGCCAGCTTGGTGGTCATCAACCTTCGTTGGCCAACGTGGTAATTCCTCAACGTGGTGGTCAGCGTGGTGGTCAACATGGTGGCCAACGTGATGGTCCTCAAGGTGGTGGCCGCCCTTTTGACGGGGTTGTCTTCTCCTGCAGGTGGACATCAGCGGGGTGGTGGCCTACACCATGGCGGCCAAGGAGGAGGGGGAGGTCAACCTGATGCGCAAAGCGGCCGCCATCACCTCCGAGGTCTTCACCAAGTTCTTCAAGGAACGGGTGATGGAGATCGTGGACGCCGACGAGGTGAGGTGCATTCTGGGAGGTGTTATGGAGTCTGGGGGGTGGGGAGACTAAAAAAAAATTCAAAAAAATTACTCTTTTTTCCCTCAAAAGCTCAAATTTTACACCCAGAAAAACCCTATTTTTCAAAAGAACTACTTATTTTTTACCCCAAACCCTCCAGTTTTTCCCAAAAAAATTTTTTTTTCCAAAAACCTGCTTTTTTTTCCCCAAAAAAAGCTCAACTTCTACCCCCCAAACCCCTATTTTTCAAGAAAACTACCCATTTTTCCCTCAAAACCTCTAATTTTCCCCCAAAACTCCCAATATTTCCAAAAGAACTCAGTTTTTTCCCCAAAAAAAATCTGACTTGCCCCCCCCCGAAATTTTTCAAAAAACTACCCGTTCTTTCCCCAAAAACCTCCAATTTTTCCCCAAAAAAAATTTTTCCAAAAAAAATATTTTTTACCTACAAAAGCTCAAATTTCACCCCAGAAACCCAATTTTTCAAAAAACCTACTGTTTTCTTCCCAAAAACCTCCAGTTTCCCCCCAAGACCTCCAATTTTCCCCCAAAACCCTCAAAATTTCCACCCAAAACTCCATTTTTCCCCCCAAAGAATTCAAATTTTCCCCTCAAAAAAACTTAAAAAAAAAATGATCAATTTTTTCCCAAAAATCCTGCAATTTTTCCCTAAAATAACAATTTTTCCAAAACATTACTCTTCTTTTCCTTACAAAAGCTCAAATTTTACCTCCAAACCCCCAATTTTTTTAAAAAAACTACCCATTCTTTCCCAAAAAATAAAGATAAAAGGGATTAATTCCAACTTTTTTACCTCAAAAAAAATTGGGGGGGGGGACGAAATTTCCCCCCCAAAAAAGCCCAAAAATGGGGAATTCCCCTCAAAAACAAGGTCAATTTGGCCAATTTCTCCCTTTTTCTCCCCAAAAAAGGCGTGGGTGGGGGGTCAGTTTCCCCCTAAAAATGTCGGGGGCTGTCAATTCTACTTTTTTTACCTCAAAAAAATTTGAGAGGGGGTGAAAGTTCTCTCAAAAACAAGGCCAAAAAAGGTCATTTCCATTCAAAAAATTTCAAATTTGTCCAATTTCTCCCTTTTTCTCCCAAAAAAAGGTGCTGGGGATGGTCAGTTCCCCCCAAAAAATGTCGGGGGTGGTCAATCCTACTTTTTTTACCTCAGAAGAATTTGAGGGGGGGTGAAATTTCTCTCAAAAAAATCCCAAAAAAGGTCATTTCCATTCCAAAAAATCGCATTTTTGGCCAATTTCTCCCTTTTTCTCCCCAAAAAAGATGCTGGGGGATCCGTTTCCCCCTAAAAACGTTGGGGGGGTTCAATTCTACCTTTTTTACCTCAGAAAAATTTGAGGGGGGGTTAAATTTCCCTTAAAAAAAGGCCCAAAGGGGTCATTTCCATTCCAAAAAATAGCAAATTTGCCCAATTTCTCCCTTTTTCTCCCCAAAAAAGGTGTGGGTGGGGGGTCAGTTCCCCCCAAAAAATGTCGGGGAGGGTCAATTCTACCTTTTTTACCTCAGAAAAATTTGAGAGGGGGTTAAATTTCCCTTAAAAAAAGGCCCAAAGGGGTCATTTCCATTCCAAAAAATAGCAAATTTGCCCAATTTCTCCCTTTTTCTCCCCAAAAAAGGTGGGGGGGGGGGATCAGTTTCCCCCAAAAAATGTCGGGGAGGGTCAATTCTACCTTTTTTACCTCAGAAAAATTTGAGGGGGGGTTAAATTTCCCTTAAAAAAAGGCCCAAAGGGGTCATTTCCATTCCGAAAAATCACAATTTTGGCCAATTTCTCCTTTTTTTTCCCCAAAAATTGGGGAAAAATTGTCCCAGGAGGGGTCGGGCACCTTCTTGAGGTCCCCCCCTTCAATTTTGGGGTGTTTCCCCCTGTTTTTAGCGACAAGAACCACATGCATTTCGGGGCCATCACCTGCGCCATGGGCATCCGGTACAAGTCCTACTGCTCCAACCTGGTGAGGACCTTGATGGTGGACCCACCTCAGGAGATGCAGGACCACTACGCCTTCCTCCTCCAGCTCCAGGAGGAGATGCTCAAGGAGATGAGACACGGTGAGGTCCACCTCAGAAGTTCTCCCACCTCTTGGACCTCCTGGAGGTCCACCAAACCCCCTCTTGGACCTCCTCCGTGGAACCCTATGGAGATATGGCCACCACCCTCATCTCTGTGGAACCCTATGGAGATGTGGCCACCACCCTCACGGTTGGCTTCTTCTAGGAACCAAGCTCTGCGACGTCTACGCCGCCGTCATGGACCTGGTGAAGAAGCAGAAGCCGGAGCTGTTGAGTAAAATCACCAAGAATTTGGGGTGAGAATGGAGGATATTGGGGCTTTTGGAAGGGTTTTGAGGGGACACAACATCTTGGTGGCCCCACCTGATGGTATCTCCCCTAGCTTTGCCATGGGCATCGAGTTCCGAGAAGGTTCCTTGGTCATCAACAGCAAGAACCAACACCGCCTCAAGAAAGGTGAGGAGAACCCCCCAAAATGAGCTTTTTTCACCCCAAAATGCTCCTCTTCGCCTAAAAAAGGCCTTTTCTGCCCCAAAAAGGTTCGTTTCCGCCCCAAAAAGGTCCTTTTCCGCCCCAAAATTGTCCTTTTCCACCCAAAATCTCCTTCCACCACCCAAAATTGTTGTCCCTCACCCCAAAATTGTCATTTTTCACCCCAAAATCCTGCTCTTTCACCCAAAATCGTCCTTTTCCACCCCAAAAAGGTTCTTTTCCACCCCCAAAATCCTCCTTTTCCACCCAAAAGGGGGCCTTTGGCACCCAAAAGAGGGCTTATTCCACCCCAAAATTGTCCTTTTCTCCCCCAAAATTGGCCTTTTCTACCCCAAATCTTGTCCCACCATCAAAAATTGTGTTTTCACCCTAAAAAGGTATTTTTCCACCCCAAAATCTCGTCCCACCACCCAAAATTGTCTATTTTCACACCAAAAAGGTACTTTTCCACCCCAAAATCTCGTCCCACCACCCAAAATTGTCTATTTTCACACCAAAAAGGTACTTTTCCACCCAAAATTGTCTATTTTCACACCAAAAAGGTACTTTTCCACCCCAAAATC